AGCATTTAGAGAAATGCAAATCAAAACTACTCTAAGATGTCATATCACCCCAGTCAGAATGGCAGCTGTTATGAAGAAACAACAATAAATGTTGGTGAGGATGTGAGGGAAAAGGTACACTCATACATTGATGGTGGGACTGCAAATTGGTGCAGCCAATATGGAAAGCAGTATGGAGATTCCTTAGAAAACTGGGAATGAAACCACCATTTGACCCAGCTATTCACCTCCTCAGTCTATACCCAAAGGATTTAAAACAGCATATTACAGGGACACAGCCACATCAATGTTCATAGCAGCACAATTCACAATAGCTAAAATGTGGAACCAACCTAGATGCCCTTCAGTAGGTGAATGGATTAAAAAAAAAATGTGGCATATGTACACAATGGAATATTACTCCGCAATAAAAGAGAATAAAATCATGGCATTTGCAGGTAAATTGATGGCATTGGAGATGATAATGCTATATGAAGTTAGCCAATTCCAAAAAAACAAATGTCAAATGCTTTCTCTGATATAAGAAGGCTGATTCATGGTGGGGTAGAAAGAGGGAGCACGGGAGGAAAAGATGAACTCTAGATAGGGCAGATGGGGCCGGGCAGGGAATTAGCAAGGATGGTGGAATATGATGGACATCATTATCCAAAGTACATGTATGAAGACACGAATTGGAGTGAACATACTTTGTATACATTATATACAAGCAGAGATATGAAAAATTGTGCTATATATGTGTAATAAGAATTGTAATGCATTCTGCTATCATTTATTTTTTTAAAATCAATTAAAAAAATAAAAAGTGGGGGCTGGGGATTTGGCTCAAGCGGTAGTGCGCTCGCCTGGCATGTGTGTGGCCCAGGTTCAATCCTCAGCACCACATACAAAGATGTTGTGTCCGCCAAAAACTAAAAAATATTTAAAAACAAAAATAAATAAAAAGTGTTTAGTTCCCACCATTACCTGATTTCCACTCTTCATTATAAATTCAGACCTTTCACCTCTCACCACAATTTGCAGTTTGGTTTTATATTCCACTGTCCCCCTATTTATAGATTCAGCTTCATGGCAGATGAAGATGCTGTTCCCTGAAAATTTTTTGCTTTTTCCTGCACTTGTACTTTGTAGTCATATTTCTCTCATTTTATAGCTCTGCCTTGATGACATTTTCATTTTTGTCTCTATCTCCTTGGAATATACAGCAGTTTTTCTCTATGTCATACCACTTTCACACTATACTTTTTGTTATTTTAAGTTAATTGTAAACTTGACATTTTGCATTATGAGAGTGAATTTATAGAGAGCAGAGTTGATATCTTACTAACTTATATTTCATGCTTGAGTCAAGCACAGTTTTGGCACTTAGAAATTAATCTAGAATTGTTTTTTTGTTTTGTTTTGTTTTAATGAAAGTAGAAACCAGCCAACATTGGTTCCGAGGAAAATGCAGAATAAATCTGCTAATGTTTTATTATACAGGGCAGAGGAGCCCTTACTTTTCCTGTCTGTCCTGTTACAGAGATTATGAAATGGACCAGCCTACACTATATAATTGTGAAAGATTAATTTCACAGGATTCTTGCCTTGACCAGAAATCCAAAGAGAAACCCTTATATGGGCCAAATGATCCATGAAAGAGGTTAAATAAAATACTAAAAATGAGAATACAGAAAGAAGCAGCATTGAAAGTGTGAGGTTCTAACTTTATACTTGCTCTAAATTTGAAAATGTGGTTTTTGCAAGTTTGTATAACTCTCTTAATTTCAACCTATGATAGCTACATGTTTATCTATATGTAAACAGGAAAAATATTCTCTGATAGTTCATTTGGGAAAGGCCAAGTCACCAGCAAATTACCTCAGACTGTCTACAACACCAAATTATATGCACACACATACACAGACATATTCATATGACAGAAAAGGAAAAATACAATAATTTTAATACTTGTATTTTCAGTTCTATCACCAATATACTTTTCCTACCCTGAGCTTATTTTACTTATCATAGTCTTTCTGAGGGCTTACTGTATCCCAGGTGCTAGGATAAAGAGGTTGAAAGGCCGTTTCTTAATCTGCTGTATATCCTCTACCTTTAAAAAAAGTAGAACTCATATGTTTTATACTAGCTCTTGGTTATCATATTATTCTCTCAAATTCTGTTTATGAATTTAAAAATAAAATTTGGAGAGGAGCTTTTCCCCCCTCTTTAAATTGTGAAGGTTTTGTTTTTGTTTTTTGTTTTTAACTCATAGTTCACACACTTTCTTATTGAGTACACCAGTTCTCCTTATGAGCGTAGTATTTAGTTATAACATGGGATTGTCCCTGTATGGTGCTTTCAGGTAGACTAGGTGACTTATAAAACACTGGAATTTATTTCTTAGTTTTAGAAGCTGGAAAGTCGAAGATCAAGTTGCCAACAGATTTGTCATCTGATCAAACCCTTTTTGTAGTTCATTTGCCATCTCATAAAGGCCCTCTTTCTAGATAGACACCATCTAACTGTGTCCTCTGGGCTATTTTATTTATTTTATTTTATTTTATTTATTTATTATGGTACTAGGGATTGAACCCAGGGATGCTTTACCATTGAGCAACATCCCAGCCCTTTTTTATTTGGAGACCAGGTCTTATTTAAGTTGCTGGGCTGGCCTTGAACTTGCCATCCTCTTTCCCCAGCCTCCTGTGTTGGTGGGATTGCAGAACACTACTGTATCCATCTGGCCTTTTTCTTAAGGGTACTAATCTAAACATTCATAGGGTTCCAATGACCTAATAATTTTCTTCATAACTTAATCTCTTCATAGGTCTCACCATCTAATACTACCATCTTGGGGATAGGGATTTAAACATAAGAATTTTAGGGGCTCTCGGAATATATATACCTCAGTGGTCAAACACTTATGTAGCATGTACATAAGATCTTTAAGATCTGAAATTAGGTATTTTGTTTGGATTGTTTACCAGCTATTACTTAAAGCTGTGCAGAAATGTAAACAAGACTCTCATTTGCAAGTATCAGGATAGTTTATTTACCCACAGAGAAAACAGTGGCAGCTTTAGCCTCAGGGAGCCTGGATACCTGCAAGTGTGTTGGCCTCATTTGTCTGGCTCTAGTCATTTGGCGTCCTGTGGCTGGCTTGTTTGTCCTCCCTCTTTTCTCTGGGACACTTGTCACAGGTGCTGTTGCTGCACATGTCATGCTCTTTTAAAAAAAAAAAATATTTTTAGTTGTAGATGGACACAATAACTCCCTGCCCCCTCTCATAAATATGAGTGTGTGTGTGTGTGTGTGTGTTTTAGATGTTGATGGACCTTTATTTATTTTTATGTGGTGCTGAAGATCAAACCCAGTGCCTCATACATGAGGAAACTGAGCTACAACCCCAGCCCCATGTTGTGCTTTTTCTCTGCCTGCATGTTTAATACCTGTTGTTTTGTTGTTCTGTATCTTTCTGTCTCTTTCTGTTTCTGCCTCTTGCTCAGTATCCTCCTTCCCATTCCCCTGCTCCTTCTCTACCTATTGGTTCCATTTTCTCCCATGACAGGCGCTTCCTTTTTTTTTTTTCAAATACACGCCAGCGGAATGTATTAATGACAGGCATTTTCATGTGGCTTTATTAGGCAGTATACTTTGATTTGTCTTCAGGTGAGCAACTAGAGAAGAAAGGATGCTTTATATATAACTCCAATTACTAAAATCCAGAGAAAAATTTCTTTATACCTCAGCTTACATAGTGAGGAAATAAGGCACTGTAGCCACTAGAATCTTGAAATTTAAGATGGAAACAGCAATTGCCAAAAAGAGAGCTTCTTCTGGACAGACCGTACAGTAAATGTTCAAAACGGAAGATGAGATAAGTATTTGGGTGAAACTTACATAGTCTTTATTAATATACTCACATTTGAGTCTTTTTTTGTTATATGGAATTCCTGTGTCCAATTCATTTTTTCTGTAACTGCTTTAACATTCATGCTTTTTCATTTATAATATGAATCAAGAGTGTAATATTCAGAAATATTGCCTAATAATCCACTTCAAAATGGTTGTATTTTTTAAAACACATCTTCATTACTTTTTGTGCATTACACTTAATTTATACTTTTGTAAAAATTGCTGGTTCTTTTAGAGGTATATGACACAATATATTACCAAAGTTGTGGTTGTTGAATTCATTTTAAAGATTAGTTTTAGAATAATCTCAGCTCTTTTCACACTGTTAGATCTAGTGATAAGGCAATGGAAAACGAGGAGTATCCATCTTTTATGATGAGCCTATTTTAGCAATACTATTCTACCTTGTTTCAAACTTTTGGTTTTATATGGTTTTGGTTTGGGGCTTGTGAATGTGTGTGTTTTGGTATTTTGTTTTGTTGTTATTTTTGCTTTTGTTTTTATTTTGTACCTGGGATTGAACCGATGGGCACTTAGCCGCATCCCCAACCCTTTTTATATTTTTTATTTATAAACAAGAGTCTCAGTGCTGGGGCTGGCATTGAACTTGTGATATTTCTGCCCCAGAGAAATATCCCAAGCCACTGGGCCATCATGCCTGGCTCAGACTTTTGTTTTGAATTTACATGATCACCTACCATCTAGCATCTATGATGAAAGAATATATTACTTGTAAAGTGATTGTTGTTAAACTTTCTCTTTCTCATACTTCATGTTTTAGAAACCTTTGAGTTTAAAAAAAAAAAAAAGCAAGTGTTTTCTGGAAAACAATATATTTAGTGATCTTTGAATCTCTTAACCATTTTATACTTCCTGGCTCAGATTTATCACCTGGATATCTTACTAGGGAAAGATAAACATGTATTTAAGACACAAAGAAACCTTTTATAAATAACCATCATTTCATTGTAGTCTTAACACAGCATGCATTGTTGCCTAAATTCATTTTATTATTTGGTAAGGACACAAGTTTGAGTTATTTCAGACTGTGATATACAATATTTTCATATAAAATGATAAATGATTAAAATTTCTTTCTGTAGGCTACAGAGAGTGAAGTAGGAGATGTAGATTTAACACGTCTTCCAGAAGGACCTGTTGATTCTGAGGATGAAGAAGAAGAAGAGGAAGAGATTGATCGAACAGATCCATTGCAGGGGCGAGATCTTGTTCGAGAATGTCTTGAAAAAGAACCTGCAGACAAAACTGATGATGACATTGGTAAGAAATAAATCTGTTCATATATTTTCCTAGTGTTTCCTTTACAAAGTACTCTGAAAACTTAATGCCTTAAAGCAGTGTACATTTATTCTTTCATAATTTTTATGGATCAGAAATTCAGGGAACTATAAAAGAACGATGAATATCAGGAGGCTTGGATCATTGAGAACCATCTTTGAGATTAGCTGACACAGATTGTAAAACAAAAATTTAATTTCATTAAACTCATGTCCATATGTATTTAAAACAGAATAATAATGTCCAAAGTTTGTGAATTAGCTTCTTAAAATTTTTCAAGAATCATATTTTTATTTTCCTAGCTTAAATTTTTGGGTAAAACTTAATGCATATTCCTCTGTGTAATTTATTAAAGAATTATTTAGTACATAATTAGTTGGCAAGTTGAATATTAAATATGTTGATGTTATCTTTGAGGAACAAAGGATTACTCAACATCAAGTATATATTGTTAGGATTCAATTAACATTTTCTCATAGATTTTCTTTTTATACTAGTCATATTGCCGTTCAAATCAGAAGATGCTCTTGCTAATAACAGCCATAATTCATATCAGTAAAGATCAAAATATTTGAACATTCGTTACCATTCCAAAGATATATTATTTAATAAGAACATTATCTGGACAGAAACTGGAAGTACTTTTGTCATGGAGAAAGGTGTTTTTGTTTTTGTCTTTTGCAATGTTGAGTATCAAATCCTCAAACATACTTAGGCAAGCACTTAACTTCTGAGTACATCCCCAGCCTGAAAGTGCATTTTTAATGGTAAAGAATTACATGCTACGCTGTCTTCAGAGTTTTTTAGAAATTGAAATGTAAGTATTTCCAATTATCTGTGAGCATAGAGCTCCTTATGGTTATTTCTGTTAAAGCCTCTGGGTAGCTATCTGTGTTTCTCCTTTTTTCTTTCTTCCTTCTTTGCCACTACCTCTCTGCTAGAGCCATTAATTCAGAAACTGGCAAGGGGCGTTAAGGGATTGAGAAAAGACAGATAAACACATAGAAAGTTGTACCAAGTGGGACACCATCTTCTGATAGAGTAACAGTGACCCAGAGGTAGCTCAGCACATTTATTATATAGGTTTTATTATCAAAAGGTTATTTGTGGGAAGGTTTCTGCAAAGCAGGCAAACTAAAGGACGCAGCACTGGGGAGACATTAGCGTTATCTTACTATGCTCAGAGTAGTTCTCTATCCCTGGGAGCTGGTGCCTGAGCTCAAGGTCCAGACTGATATAACTCCATGCCTTTGCACAGTTTCTTCAAGCCAGGTGTCACCATAGCAACTGAGCAATCTTGACCTGTACAAAGGTACAGGTCAGAGAAAACACAGGCAGTCACAAATCATGATCCAAGTCACTGCTTTCCACGCTTCTTTTTTTTTTTTTTTTTCTTTTAATCCCCTGCCATACTGAGAATTGAAGCCAGGGTCTTCCACATGTGAGACAAGCACTCTGCCACTGAGCCATATCCCCAGTCTTCTTATTTCTTTGAAACATGATCTTATTAAGTTACCCAGGCTGTCCTCATGTCCTCATGATCCTCATGCCTCTGTTTCCTGAATAGCTGGGATTATAGGCATGTGCCGCCACCCGCAGTCTGTTTCTCCCTTGTATTTATCTTTATTGTTCATGTGTCTGTATACTAAAAAATGCCTGAGGAACCCATCAGCCTTTATTGTAGTACATAGATGCTTTGACAAATCTTGTACTACATTACACATTTGTTACTCCTAACAGTTATTTATTGGCATTGATGAGTTACATTTAAAAAAAGAAAGAAAAATCCCTAGCCAATAAGATTAAAGACTTTTTTCATTAATCTGTTAGGTCTAAGGGCATCACTAATCCAAAATACAATGGCATCTCAGGCTAGGTAAATTAGATAAGCCTTCCAGCTTTATCTCACTTTGAGTTCATTGTTTTCTCTAGGGGTTATAAATTCTGGTATCTTTCCATATGCCCATATTTTATGTATGAATCTGAATATACATGTAAAGTAAATAACTGATATTTTTTTCAGTCAGTGGTCTTTGTAATCTGGCTTTCTCTACTCTAGCAGCATAAATTCACAAGTCAGTTATGGAATTGGATATTGAAGTCTAGATTTTATTCTCTTTTAATGTATCATCCTAAAATTTGTTTTTTTATAGAACAATTACTTGAATTTATGCACCAGCTTCCTGCTTTTGCAAACATGACCATGTCTGTAAGGAGAGAGCTCTGCTCAGTGATGATTTTTGAAGTGGTGGATCAGGCTGGAGCTATTATTCTTGAGGATGGGCAAGAGGTAGGTTAGCAAATAAATGTCACATTATTTAGTATGGATGCTAATTTCTACTAATTTTACTTTTAGAAGAATTTTATTTCCATAACCTTGTGTAAATCCTCACTTTTGAAATTTAAACTGAACAGTGAGTTAGAAGGAACACTTAAATTTGAAGTAGTTATGATTTCTAAGGAGAGAAATTTTTTGTTTAGCTTTACTTTATCTTAATTTTTATTTCCTAGCAATGGATTTTGTGCAAAATAGATAACAAATTTGGTTCAACAAATATTATTTATTTTCATTTCTCAAGGTTCTTAATTAGTATTCATGTATTTATATCATTGTTTAAAATGTTTATAAAGTTAAATGTATGTATTCTCCATTTTCTTTCTCTATATTAACATGAAAAAATGAGGCAAATGTATTGGTACCACTGCCTTCTACTGGACAAATCCCAATTGGGGCATTTATGTGGCAATTCTGTGTTTTAAACTGCTTAGATAGATGCAGCTGAGTGGAGAAAGGATGCAGGGGGATTAGAAAGTATGACTATTGTTAGGAAGTGTTTTGATATTTTTCTTATCAAGTTAGTAATGATTAATGCTGAGATGTTAGTTGCTGAACATTGTCATTTATTTCTAATAGGAATAAAAATTGGTATAGTATTTCTGGAAAGTCATTTTTCTAAATATCAAAAGATGTTCATTATAGCATATTTTTAATAGTAAAAATTGGACGTGACCCAAAATATCCAAGAATAAGAAATGGTTATTCAAATTATTACATAGCCACAGAATATGACATATGCTGGGCAAGTATTCTGCCACTGAACTACACCCTCAACTTCTCACATTATTTTAAAATTATTTGATGGAAATTCTGTGAGGGCAGGGGCCAAATCTCTAGCTTTTTTTTTTTTCTTAACATATTTTTTCTTTACATTCTACACATAAAGTGTGCTCCCAAAAAAGTTTGGTGAATAGATGAGTATAGCATTAAATTTTTTAAAAAAGCAGAATAATATAAATATCTTAACTATTCAAAATGATATGCACACAGATGAGAAATAAGCCAGACTTCCCCCCCACACCCACAATTTTTTGTGTTGTCTTAATTTCCCACAGTTCCATCAGCAAAAATTTGTTGTATGTCAGCTGTGTACCAGCTTCTGCTCTAGACCCAGGGATGTAGTGGAAAAAAACTGGGTAGTCCCTAATCTCAAATAACCTATGTAATCCACAAGTTCAGTAGTGAGTATATTTTACATTTAAAACAGTAAAAAAAAAAAAAAAATACACTTTGTGAAAAAAAAAATATTTCTTTATACACTGATTACCTTTTGGAACTGACAATCCTAGATTTTCCCTTAAGTCACATTAAAACTATTGAAAGTTTACCATATAATAAGAAGGGTTGTTTATTAAAGGGAATTAAATGGTCTTTTATTGACACACAGTGACCTTTAAAAGAAATATCTCCCTGGAACATTAATTTCTTCCATATAAATGAGGACATTGTCTTCTTAACCTTAGGAGAAATTTTGAGCATTCTATTTTGTTAGATATGCCTTAAAATTCAGGCTTTTCCTAGTCTTTCTAAATTAATCACTATCTTTTTTGGTATTCTTACTACATGTCAGACACCTCTAAGCACTTAGTATGAAATAACTCAATTAATATAGTAATTCTATGATAGATTCTATTGTTAGGACCATTTTAGCAGTTTAAAAAAAAAAAAAAAAAAAAAAAAAAAAAGAGGTTCAGAATGGTTATATAACATGCCAAAAGTCACCAGGCTAGTTAGTGGCAGGGTCTGGATTAAAATTCCAAAAAATCTGTGCTCTCAAACATTACATTTTTGCCTCAGGAAATTTGGTAATCATGAAAGCTCCTGATTTCCTTTGGTTACTAAAAGAAGAAAGTATAAAATAAACTTCAGTGGTTGTGCAGACTAGAATAGGGAACATAAAATGTTACTAAACGTGCTTAATAATATAACCAGATTCTCTTTTTCACTCTTTCAAATTATGCAAATTATATATTTTGATAGATTTTTGTTCAAAGCTAACATAACTATCACTTCTAAAAGATTCTTAAAACCTTTGTTTTTCTCTATAGCTTGATTCATGGTATGTTATTTTAAATGGCACTGTAGAAATTAATCATCCAGATGGAAAAGTTGAAAATCTCTTTATGGGAAATAGTTTTGGAATTACTCCCACTCTTGATAAGCAGTACATGCGTGGTATTGTCAGAACTAAAGTAGATGATTGTCAGGTAAGCTTTTCTCTTGCTTGTTTGATTTGAAATGGCTGAACCTGATTTTTTTTCCTCACTTAAAATAAAATCACTGTATGTGAGAATGAGGAGTTTCAATAGCTCATTGTTAATAAAGGAAACTCAATTTTATAACTGCCTCAAATATTTATGGGATTGAGCAAACTATAAATTTTTTAAGAGAATGTGCCAAGTAACTACTAGTTTGTTGCATTTCTTTCTGATATTAGCCAGCTCAGAGTCTTTTTTAAACAAGGGAAAGAAATAGGAACTTCAGAGTTGTTTGTTTCTAACTTACTCCTGCTTCGTGTTTCCTTTGTGTAGTGTCAGTTTTGAGAGAAGTGGATGTTCACTTCTCCTTTTAGAGCAAAATTCAAACGGATTTGACTTCTTCGGTCTCTTTATGTGTACATTGTTTCACCTTGATTTTTGTTAAAAGTTTAAAGGATTGAATGAAAGAACTGATGCCGCTTGATTTCTTGCCTTTGTGCTCTGCTTTGGTGCATAGTGATATATTTATGTACTATAGGTTCATTAATTGTCCCCATGTTGTTCTTGGACAGTTTGTCTGCATAGCCCAGCAGGATTATTGGAGAATTTTAAATCATGTGGAAAAAAATACCCATAAAGTTGAAGAAGAAGGAGAAATTGTTATGGTGCATGAGCACCGCGAATTAGACCGGAGCGGAACCAGGAAAGGACACATCGTAATCAAGGTGTGTATTTTAACTTATTATTCTAGATATTGATAGAATAAAGTTTTCAACTTGCTTTTAAAAAGGCTCTGAACTCCTTTTTTAAATAGTGCAAGATAACTTCACTAACACATTGAAATCTAATTTTAATCAATATATTTGTTCTTTTGCCTTTTTCTAAGCTGGTTTTTATCCATTTTAATGTTGAAAAATAACTTTCATATCAGCATGGATAGGGGATGGGTATTGTTTTGGAATATACTGGTCAGTTTTTCTTCTAAAATGTATTTTATATTTAGAAACAATAGAAATTCAAGGATTAGCCACAAAGGCATAGGACTCATAGATGAAAATGCAGAGTTAAAATAGGCATTGATTTCACTTTTTTTTTTTAATCTAAAAATGGTGGTAATACAGAAGGACTTGATTAAGATTAAATGAGGTAGATCAAAAGCTTTAGTACAGTTATAGAATTAAGTATGAATTCTCATACTTTCTCTCCCCCACCCCTTCCCCTATTCCTTGCCTTCTTCCTCCTCTGCTCTTTAAAAGCCTCTGGATATAAAGTAGAGCCATATAGTCGAAAGGGAGAGAATAAATGCATAGCTTCTTGTCTTTTTGGACTAGTCTTGGTTGCTAATTGGAAATGGAGGAATTTATTTAATATGAGGAGTATAAATCGGAAAGACAGATCTAAAGCTGATATCATGCCCACTGTTCCTTAGAATCAAGACTTTCTCAGAGCTGTCTCTCTAAAACTGATGGTTTTAAGCTTTTTCTGTAGAGAAAAAATGAACATATCAATGACCTTAGGGTCATGTATATATTTTCTTATTTTAATTCCTTTGTCTTTTTGTAAGGACTTCTATGTTTCTAATAATTTCAAAGTTATAATAGAAAAGTTGCAAGAACAATACAAAATCTCCCTGAGTCAGATTTCCCCCAATTTTAATATTTTACTCATTTGCCCCATTGTCATTAGTGGAAATGGAAAGTAACCTGCAAAAGTAATGCCTCATCACTTCTTAATATATCATATGTATTTCCTAAAAGCAAAAATGCTCTCCTGCATAAACACCATGGAATCCTTCCAAGTTTGGAACTAAACATTGCTGAAACAGAAAGATTCAGCCCAAAAATCATGTTAGATATTCACCAGCAATCCCATCATTGCTACTTTTTTATTTCTGGTCTAGGATCTCATCCAGGAACACAGATTTAGTTGTCATGTCACTTCAGTCTGTTCCTATTTTATATCCTGTAGGAATAACCCTTTACCTGGATCAGTCTAGTGTTTCCTCATGACCATACTCAAGTTGTTCCTTCCCAGCAGGAATTTCACAGAAATGATGACATGCACTTCTCATTACACCACATCAGGGGCCACAAGATGTTACCTTTTCCACCATGGTAAAATAAACCTTGATGCCCTGCTCACATTGATGTCTCATTCAGGAACACAGATTTAGTTTCTTCACTGTAAAAATTACCATTTGATCCTTTGTAACTGATGGGTACTTGGTAAAGGGATATTCTGAGATAGTATCAATAAAACTGCCTCTAGTTCGTGGATAGTTACGAACTTCTACCCAGAAGTTTTTACTTCCACTGACTGACTGACTACTCTTGCCTGAAATGGTGAGACCTTATTACTATAATTTCTTGCATATTTTTAAACTGTCATTTTGTAAAGAAGAGCTTTCTTTTCTTCTACATTTATTAATATTAGTATAGACTTATGTGTTCACCAGTATTATTCCTTAGATCAAATTGTGTGAGATTTAGCCAGTGAAGCCCTCTTTAAGCTGACTCCTATATTATTTTGACATGTCCCTCTCTGGCAGATAGTAAGGCTCATCATGAACTTGATTTACACCAGATTTTGAAGTCAGCTATTTCCCCCAGAGTATACAGGATCTTTCCAGTTGAAGATGGTATTTATGAACCAATATCTGGGTATTCCCTTTGTTTTTAGATCCCCTCATCAGATAAAGCTAGGAAATCTATATATGGATGGATGTATTACAAATACATGCCCATTTATTACTTTTTCTGTTAAACATCTAGGGGTTTATACTGATACATCCAATCCAGTGTTACACCCCGTACAGGGTTTTCTCTACCCTTTTTCTTTCTGTTTCTATAAGTACATTCACCAACAATGACTCTTGTTATTCTCTGTATATTTACATATTTGCTTATTGTAACCAATCTCTACCATGCGAACCATCTGTTTTGCCTGCTACCTCTGTGTGTTCATCCAGCATCCCAACTTTTTTTCTTCCACCTGAGACATAGAGGTTTATTTAGGAAAGCAGAGGCATATTTAAGGGAGAATGTGGGCTATCTTGAGAGGGAAAAGTCACTGGGACAAAGCAAGTAGTACACATTAAAGGGAGAATGTGGGCCATCTCCAGAGGGAGAAACAGCAACCTTTTGGTGTGTGAGCATCCTACCTTCTCAGCTGCTAATAAACATAATGGTGATGTGCCTCTTCATAATTACCTGACTCATCTTTAAAGTTTAGAATGTATAGCTTAATCTCTATAAGAGACCCTGCCTCAATGACTTAGCCAGTCAAAATGATGGCCTCTGTTCAATGTTGACTAGTTTACACCATGACTTCCAATATATATAATCTAAAAACAACATTTAAGTGACCCTAAACCATCGTTGATAATAAAGCCAATTTGGTGTTTTAGAGGGTGGAAGAATAAGAATAATCTATGGTCTCCTTGTTCCTTAAGTTAGTTAAATGAAAATACTGTCTTATGACTTCCTTCAGAGAAATGATTTACATACTTTGTTAGCAGTGGGCACCTTTTTAAAAAAGATAAAATAAGTACTTTGTAGTACTAAAGTATGTTTAATGTACATTTATTCTGAGCAACAAGTTGTTTGAATGAAGCAAATTGAAGTTTGGGGTCATGAGCAACAGTTAATTTTTATATCAGGCTTACCATCTGTTTTATTTAATTCAGAAGCTCAAAGAGGAGCAATGGTAAATGTTTGTATTCTTTTGATAAGTTTACAGACAGGCAAGCATTTAAAACTCTGATTGTAAAAACTATCTATAGGACTTCTCATTCCTCCCAAGATGGTGAGCTAGCAGAGATAAAATGTAGAAGGAAACTATTTGAGGAAGTAACAGCAGTAAAACTGGCTTTTTTTGAACTGATATATTATTCCTGCAGCTTGGGACAGAAGAAAATTTGAAGTGGAATAAATTTGAAAAAAAGCTTGCTTGCTTCCTTTTTTCTTTTTCTTTTTTCTCCCTGCCTCTTTTTTTTTTTTTTTTTTTTTTTCTTTTCTTTTCTTTTACTTACCTCTTGCTTCTTCCTTCTTTTGCCTGGGACAATCATTATGTACCCCCATTATACCAGAAATGGCAGTAAGAGCCCACACAAGGAATAAATCAGTTAAATTCTGAGGATGCCAATGGAAAAAGGTACAGCTGAGTAAATGCTGTTTTGGGTACTCATTCCTATATTTTTTCTCATCTAAACCTCTACTGCTGCATTACAACCTAGAAAGACTAGCTTCTCCCAGCGTAAAGATTTAATGGTGAAATTACTTTGGGGATTTGTATAAGGGAGTGGCTATAAAGGAGAATAATCAATGGGAGTTAATTGATTCCGTTTTGTCCTTGGATTTTTAGGCAACACCTGAGCGTCTCATTATGCATTTAATAGAAGAACATTCCATTGTGGACCCAACTTATATAGAAGATTTCTTATTGACTTATAGGACATTTCTTAAAAGTCCTTTGGATGTTGGAATCAAGCTTTTGGAATGGTTTAAGATTGACAGCTTAAGGGATAAGGTTGGTTTTAAAAATATCAAGGGCATGAAAGTGATTTTAATGTAGAATTTTTGTTTTGAAGTACTGGGGATTGAACCCAAGGGTATTTCACCATTGGATTACAACCCCTTTTATTTTTATTTTATTTTGAGGGTATCACTAATTTGCTAAAGCTGGTCTCAAACCTGCAATCCTGCTGTAGCCTCCTGGGTTGCTGGGATTATAGGCATGCACCACCACACACAGCATTTACATTTTATTAATGAACGTTTTGCAGTTGATAGATTAAATGTTTACTTTGATAACAAAATTTAGTTCACCTAAAAAATTAGTAAGTTGGTATAGACATATATCTGCTTATCTACTTTTATGATTGCATAGCCTGTTTCAAGGGGACATGAATTTTTTTTTTTGGACATGAATCTTAAAAGGCAAAAATTGAAATAAGGCTGTGATGTTGCTCTAAATTCAGGAAACGTAAAAGCTGCATAAGTGTTTTAGAATTTTACCAAAATATTTTATAATCATTTAAAAACAATATGTTAAATCCTAATTTTTCTGTCCTGCTGCTTATTTAAATCTTTCTTTGAATTTGCATTAAATGTTATTTACTATTTAAAATAGATTATTTTGCCTGTTTCATGGTATGTACAGTTTAATGGAAATATTAGTAATACCTCAGCAAATTAGTGGGAAGTAAGTTGTTCTAAGAAAATAAAAAGGAGGATCATAATGGCAAAGAAAATAAGTTAGATGAAGGCAAAGTTGATTTTTTTTTTTTTTTTTTTTTTTTGGCATTGGGGGTGGGGGGATACTGAGGATTGAACCCAGAGGCAGTTAACCACTGAGCTACATCCCCAGCCCCTTATATTTTTTTAAGACAGGGCTGTCTTTAAACTTGTGATCCTCCTGCCTCAGCCTCCTGAGTCACTGGGATTACTGGTGTGCACCCCCACACCTGACTAAACTGTAGAATTATATTATTTAGGAGATTAAAGTGTGCAAAACTACAGACTTGTCTTCCTCTCCTTTTTTTTTTTTTTTTTTTGGAATTAATTATAATTACTTTGGTTCCTGAGAAAATAAAGGCATGCCTAGAGACTGAACAAAAATATGATTTAGAAATAGCTAGATTTCTACATGCAAAAGAATGAAATTGGATTCTTACTTACCTTACACCATATATAAAAATTTACTCAAAATTTATCAAAGTTACACCGTTCATAAAAATTTACTCAAAATGTATAAGAGGGGCTGGGAATACAGCTCAGTTGGTAAAGGGATTGCCTCACAGGCACAAGGCCTGGGTTCCATCCCCAGCACCACAAAAAAAAATTGAGGCAATATAAGAGATTAAAGTATAATATTTTTACAAGAAAAGATAATAGTAAATCATGATGACCTGGGTTTTGGCAGTAGTTTTTCAGATATAACACCAAAAGCACAAGCAACAAAAGAAAAAAAAAATAGATATTTGAATTGCATCAAAATTAAAATGTTTTCTGTATCAACTGATACTGTCAAGAAATACAGGACAACACATGGAATGGGAGAATAAATTTGCAAATCATATCTGATAAGGGTCTAGCATCCAGAATATATAAAGTATTCTTACAGTTTGGCAACAAAAGAACAAATAACACAATTGGAAAATGGACAAAGAACTTAAACATTTCCCAAGGAAAATGCATAAATGGCCATCAAGCACATGAAAAGGATGCTCAACATAATTAGTCTTAGGGAAATACAGCTTGAAGCCATTGTGAGATATCACTTTGTATCCACTGGGATGGATTTGTAAAAAGAAGGAAAAAGACCCCCCCCAAAAAGAAATTTAAAAACAAAGAATGTGAGAAATTAGATACCCCACCCCCAATATTAATCATGGAAATGTAAAATAATATAGCCTCTGTGAAAGACTGTTTGACATTTCTTCTAAATTTGAACATAGAGTACCCAAACAATCCAGTAATTTTTCTCCTAGGTATGTACCTGAAAAACAGTTCACAAACAAAAATTCGTACACAGATATTCATAGCAATATTGACCATAGCCAAAAAGTGAGGATGATCCAGATGTCCCACTAATATTTATCATGGATAAACAAAACATATATAGCAATTTAATAAAATATTATTCATCCATAAAAAGAAACAAAGTACTAATTAAAGGAAGCCAATCACAAAAAGCTAATATTACGTGATTCTTTTTATATGAAATGTCCAGAATAGGCAAATACATACAAAAGTAGACTAGTGATACCTTCCAGGGACTGGAGAAAGGACAGAATGGGAGGCATTTACTAAACTAGTTAGTGATGATGATCATATAACATTGTAAATGTGTGAAATGCCATTGAATTGTGCACTTTAAATTGAAATGGTAAATTTTATGTGCATGTGCATTTTACATAATTTTGAAAATATATGATTCAAAATTACATTGCTAACTATATTACTACTTAACATTTGCTTACTTTTAATCTATGGAGCAAAGTAAACAAACCAATTCACCATTTTTGAAAATTGACAGTATTTACAATGAATGAAATATCAGATTTGTTTTCATTAAAATTTGGGGTTAAATATGTTCTTAGCTATAGAAACACTTATACTGTTTTTTGATATGATTACCAGCTTTTATGATATGAAGTTTGTATTTTGAGATGCTCTGAAATACATATCCCATGTATTTATTCCATTTTAATGAATATAAGATGACTTTTATCTTCTGAATGCACAGAGTTCTTTGTTACTTGTGTACCCAAGGAAGCAAAATTTTAGACTAAAGCATGCCTCTGTTAGAACAAGCCTTTTTATATACAAGGAAGGGGAGAAGAAGGTTAGTCATAAAGCTCTATTCTTCCTTAGTTTGGGGCATGTTTTTGGAATGTACTTTTTCAGAAATAATGCCTCTCATAACCATATGCTGCCTTTTCTGTCTTTCCTCAGGTGACACGGATTGTATTATTATGGGTAAATAATCATTTTAATGATTTTGAAGGTGATTCTGCTATGACTCAGTTTCTGGAAGAATTTGAAAAAAATCTGGAAGATACAGTAAGGCTCAAATGAATTTCTTTTTCAGAGTTGCTGCTCCTCAGCGAGAACAATTATTCAGAACAGCAATGGCTTTTGTATTATCCTGCATACTAAATGAGAACTCTGTAATTCTGCTTATCCTCCGCCATCTCAGCTGAAACAAAAATCATCCTTTTAGACTCTGTTTTTCATTTTTAGTTTAAGACTAGTATCTCTTAGTTCCTCAGGCTTCTAAGTACTGGGCATATGTGGATCAGTCCATAGTCACCCATGTCGCTGATTTAGGCATTTATGTATACATATGTCTCTTTTTCAGCCATTTCTTTTCTACTTCCCAGTTTAGGAGCTCATTATTTTATTATACCTGTTCTATTATAGTAGTCTGCTAAATGGTCTTAGTTCTAGTTTTCTTCTACTCCATTCTGTGTGTCCAAAAGATAGATATTAAAGTACAAACATAATGCATATTGCTTGTCTTTGTTAGCACACCATATTTTTTTTTTTTTAAGAGAGAGAATTTTTTTTTTTTTTTTAGTTTTTTTAGTTTTCGGCAGACACAACATCTTTGTTTGCATGTGGTGCTGAGGATCGAACCCGGGCCGCACGCATGCCAGGCGAGCGCACTACCACTTGAGCCACATCCCCAGCCCAGTACACCATATTTTCTACCAAAGTAGTGTCTCACCTTATACTCATGTCACTCATCTACTTTTTCAGGATTTTTCTTATGTACTATAGATTATATCTAAACCAGACTATTTTGTAGTTCTTTATCACAGACCTTGTTGTATTCTCTTCTTCCAGTCCTGCTCTTTCCAAGTATGTGCAACTTTCAGTGCATATCTTTTATATCCGATCTACATTAAGACTTTGTGGATCTCCCTGCTACATGTGCTTTCACCTTTTCTAAATATATAGTATTTAAGATAATTCCTTCAAGGTCTTCTTAACTTCCACAGTAGCTATTGATGAATACATTTGATTCTCCTTGTCACATAGAATTCAGCTGCAACTAGGTTGTCTGCTTCTAGCAGCTTGAAATTTTTGGAAATAAATAATGTAGTATAATGGTTAAAAGAGTACAGCTCAGGAATCAGTTTGCCTGAATTAACATTCATACTCCATCACTTGCTCGATATGTGAATTTGGACAAGTTGCCTAACCTTTATGTTCCTGTTTACTTATTTGAAAGATAATAGCCCCTACTTCAATGAGATTGTATGAAGATTGTACTGAGTTAATGAATAACAATACGAAAACAATCCTGGCACATAGCATATGCTCAAGAATTATAGTCTTCAGAGTCTTAGTGGCTTGAGTTGCCTGAAAAAGAAAAAAATTGGAAGATATGATCCAATTTTTACCCCTTAGTTCTTATAGACTTCTCAGCAGCATATCTGCTTTGTAAAATGGGGAGAAATGAACAGGGACTGGGGAACCTGATATAGAGGCACACCAACGTCAATAGTCATGAGATGAACAAGATAGGTGTTTGTATTACGAAAGTTCAGAGAATGAGAAGTAATTTTTTATCATCCCTGTGGGGATGAGATAACATGTTGAAATCTTTTGTTGGTGGTGGTGGTGGTAGTGATGGTTCTAGGGATTTAACCCAGGGGCAGTCTGTCTCTGAATTACATCCCCAGCCCTGATCTTTAGTTGTCTTTTTAACTTATCTAAGTTGCTGAAACTGGCCCTGAACTTGCTAACCTCCTGCCTCAACCTCTTGAGTTGCTAACCTGTGATTATCTAAAAATCTTTAAAATCGTACTCAGACATCTTATTCTTGAGAGAGTACTGCAGTAGACGGGCCCTCTCCTTTAGTTGTTTTTTTTTTTTTTTTAATCACCTCACATGATTAAAAAAATTCATTAATAGTAATTAATAGTAAAAATTAATAATATGTATTAATAGTAAAAATTCATTAATAGTAGTTTATGTTTACAGTTCTTATTTTAATAATTTTTGATGATTTTAGAAGCCTATAGGAATAGACATAATTTTATTCTTTTTTTTACTTTATAGAAAATGAATGGTCATCTTAGGTTATTGAATATCGCCTGTGCTGCAAAGGCTAAGTGGAGACAGGTTGTGCTACAAAAGGCTTCTCGAGAGTCACCTTTGAATTTCAGCCTTAATGGAGGAAGTGAGAAGGGATTTGGTATTTTTGTTGAAGGAGTAGAACCTGGTAGCAAAGCTGCTGATGCAGGACTGAAACGTGGTGATCAGGTAAGTAAATGACTCACCATTTAAATTAAAGCCATCTTATCAACACAATAGTCTGTCTGTTATTTTTGTTCTTATCCGATATTTCTTAAGTAGATATAGTCAGTTTGAGTATTTGTCTGAGTGCATCTTAAGAGGTGGTATTCTAACATGGCTTATTTTTTAAACACATTTATTATATATCCACTGCTGTTAATAAAAAATTTGATCTAGCGTTTGAACCAGCTCGACCAGGCCTCATCATCGTGACCTCCTTTGGGCCTGCCTCATACCCCAAAGATTAGTTTTGAAGGAAGGGTCATTTCACTTCTTATGTAAGTGGCTGAAGATTACCATAAGTGATGGTATCAACTTAAATAATGTTCATATGATAACATACTACATTTATAAGCCAAGTGAGTCAGGTGAGGGACCAGAAAAAATCAGACACTGAAAGGAATTTGGTGATGATCCATTTCTTCCATTTAGACATAAGGTAACTACTGAGCAGGCGGTTTGAAAATGTGATTTACTTATAACCTTTTGTTACATTAAAAACGCAATTCCCATGCTAACCTTAGTCCTTCCAGGCATATTAATTACATTCTCAAATGATAAAGTTTCTAAATTTGTATTTTTAACAAAGCTCTCTAAGATGATACTCATGCATATCAGAGGGTTGTTTCCCAGATCTTAGATACCATCAGACTCACTTGAGAAACTTACTTTTTCATGTTCAAAAACTTGTTCATTCATTCAGTTAAAATGTGGTTTTATTTTACTTTTGAACTGAACCATACTATCACTTTTTTAATATGATAAGGGTATTCACATTATAAAAAACTATTTTGAAAGATGCTATCCTTCAAAATAGTGATTCATAACCAATGGGTGATTTCTGCCCCAAGAGACTTTTGAGTTTTTTGTTTCTTGTTTTTTTGTAGTGGTACTGGTAGTCAAACCTAGAGCCTCCCTCACACTTGAGGATTCTACCACTGAGCTACATCCCCAGCCCTAGATAGATAGGTAGGTAGATAGATTTTGTTTTGTTTTTGTTTTTGTTTTTGTTTTTTTCCCTTTTTTGGTACCGGAGATTAAGCCCAGAGGCACTTTACCACTTAGCTACCTCCCCAGTCCTTTTGATTTTATTTTAATTCAGCGTCTTACTAAATTGCTTAGTCTGGCCTCGAATTTTCAATCCTCCTACCTTAGCCACCCAAATTCCTAAGAATGAAATTTAATCTGCTTTCCCTTCTTCCATCATCCCTCTCCATTACTGTGGAGATGATCTGAGGCTTTAAGCAACTCCCACACCCTCAAAAAAGGGGATCTCTTTATTTTTATTATTTTTGCATAATACTGTATTATCTGTTTTAGGAGATGCAGGTCTTTTTTAACTTGAATTTTACTTCTGTAGAATTTTCTTTTCATAATGTATTGTTATGCATTCTTTCTTATCCTTTTGGAATTTTTATGTCAGTCCCCTAGATCTTTCCTCTTTGTTGATTATTTTTTATTCATTATATTTCTCTATCACTCTTTATTGGAATTGGCATTTTTTAAAACTAAGCTTGTATAATTCTGAGGTACAGCCAAATTGGGCAATCCTTGATGTTCATATGAAAAAGAACTTATCTCAGTTATGCTTCTTATTGTTTGGCTACCTGATACAATCAGTGACAGCAGGTTTTTAAATATATTTAGAGAGCTACTTTCAAATGAATTATTTCACTTTTAAATGCAGTAAATTTACACATAGGATATTTGACTATACATACACACAGGTGGTAATTTTTGATATGATTTGATATGGTCAAAATTTTTCATTTATGAACTTTTCTGTGATCTTTGTAAAAAAAAAATCCTTACTATTATCCTAAAGTGAATGAACTTTTAAAATATATATATATATAATTTACAGTAGAGAATTTGGAAAATGCAACCATATAGGAGAAAAAAATAAATACCCATCTACCTTCTCACAAAGAGAGCCGTTGTTTACTTATGGTACATTTTATTGAAGTCCTACTGTACTTTTTCAGCATAAACTTTTAAGCTTTTGTCTTTTTACATTTTATTCTTAATTTGTATTTTTCAAATACTCTTAAGATAATGGAAGTAAATGGACAGAATTTTGAGAATATTACATTTGCAAAGGCCCTTGAAATTTTGAGGAATAATACTCATCTTGCACTAACTGTGAAGACCAATATTTTTGGTAAGTTTTGTTGTAAATACTGTTTGAGCTTTGCTTTTTTGTTTTTGTAATAGAAAAGTAAAGTCCTAACAATGAAAAGAAAAATAAAATGTAAAACATTTCTTATCTGAGCTATTAAGGTATTATTAGGATTGCTAATGTGTGTAGTACAATTTAGAATTTTCACTTTTCATTTGTGCTTATTATTTTGATATCTTAGAAAGTTTGAAAGTAGGTATACAACTACATTCATTCAGTCATTTATGAAATATCTATTGAGAATCTGTTATATACCATACTCTGGTAGAGGAATACTTAAAATGACCTCAATAGAACTTAGAGTCATAATCAGGTTTTTTTTCTCCCTGCTAATTTACAAATTAATCTACTTCTAATCTTTTAACTAGCTTTCTGAAATAATGTAAATGCTGGATTGTTTCATGGAAATTAATTAAAGCACTGAATTAATAATCAGTGAATTACAGATTTCTAACAAGAGACTCTACCTTCCTGTGTAAAAATGTTGATTATGTCATATAAACAAAGCAAATATTCACCTTGTACTTATTTTATTAAGAAATTTATGGGTTTTTTTTTATAACTTTAAGAAAGGATTTATTGTCATTTGGATTCATTTGATACCACAGGATTTTTGTTAAAATTCAGAGAAAAGCAACAGTAAATACAGTATAGCCATTGAAAATTGTCAAAAAAAAATTTAAGAGTTTTTATTTAAGAGCTGGTTCCCCTAGGTTTCAGTTGCAATTAGAGAAGTAAGAGTTGACTTTTAAAACTATGCCTATAGAAAGGAAGTGTGAGTTTTAATTTTTCCACTGTAACTCCTCTTTATACTCTGCTTAGTAATATTGAAAAATGAAGCATTTGTTATTTTTCCTCTTTTTATTGGAGTCACTTTGACTGAATTACATCATGTTGACTCTGATATATAACAGTCAGTTGGCAACTATACAGTACTTAACAAAGAATAAGTAAGTAAGCCTTCAGGGTTTTTGGATTTCCTAGAGGTGACACTAGTATTTAGTGACACCAGCTTTTAGCTTAAAACCACAGGGATATCAGTTTTGAAAAACATGAAACCAGCATTATGCATGTTGGACAGATTATTTACTCTCCAGGCTTCAGTTTCTCCAGCTATATTTCGTAAGGTTCTTGTAAAGATCCAATGCCTTTACTTTTTTCTTGTCACTTAATGATTGCTAATTAGTATCAAATATTATTATATACAAAAATATATAGATAGCATAATATAGTGTTTAACAACATTAACTCTGAAAGACAGAAAAAATAAGTTTAAAGATACAAAAGGTGTAATGTATAACAAATTAGAATAAATAAATAAGTTTAAATTTTAAAAGATACAAAAGGTAGTGAACCCACACTCTCAGAACCCTAGAACCCTCTGAGTGGTAAGAATAACAAAATGTCAGACTGGATGTTGCATGGACCTTTTTTTTTTTCTTTCTTTCAAAATACTTTTATTTAAAATTAAAAAATTGAGGCTGGGGTTGTGGCTCAGTGGTAGAGTGCTCGCCTCACACATGCAAGACCCTGGGTTCAATCCTCAGCACCACATAAAAATAAGTGAAATAAAGGTATTGTGTCCAACTACATCTAAAAAATAAATATTTAAAAGGTAAAATTAAAAAATTACAATTAAAAAAAAGCCACCACAAACCCTGCCTTTCTTTTTAAATAATGCAGCATGGAGCAGTTTGGTTTCCACCCTATTGTGCTGGGGCTGAGGTCCTGCCAAGAAATTGGGGTTCAACCTGGGGAAAAGAGATCAGCCCCTCCCACTCCCTCAAGAGGCAGAGCCTGGGTTTCTAGAGCAACCTGGCAACACACCTCTGTCACTGTTGACAGGCCCCACTTTATCTTCCCTGAGGACCCAGTGGTCACAAGGGGAGTGAGAACTGGAGAGAAAGGCAGAAGAAATGTGTGAAAAGTCAGACTCCCAGAGTTTCATTAAGGCATTTGGAACAGATAAATTAATTCAGGAAGACCTATCTTCACAGAAGGCTGGGGTAACCAGATACACACACATGCAAGAAACGTATTTGTGGAACCCTGAAATGGGAGGAAAGGAGACCATAGTCACTATTTGGTGCTTCTATCAAAACACACACGAACGAGTTACATCCAGGGATCCAGCCCACTGAGGCCGCCGTGAGGAAGGGTTCTGTTCCTATGATAATTTTAGGATCCTAGAATGATTTCCATGATGTGATCTAGTTCATTCCACTGCCAGGATCCTGGGACACAGAAGAGGTTGTGAGGAAGTTGGGGGGGGGGGGGGGCGCAGGGTAGGCTCCTTTTCAACTGCAGATGTGTTAATGTTCAAAAAGAAGTCATCCAGGGTATAGTCCCCCAGGTACCGGGAACTCAGAGCTTCCAAGAAGACTGGGTCAGGTTGGGGTAGCACTTCATTCTTGAGGCCGGGGGAGACACTGGATTCTGAGGTACTTCTGTCTCATCCATGGATGTCTCCAACTCCCTGAGGGTAGAGCCAGCCGATGGTGGTGGAGAGGGAGAAATCTCTTCCTCACCCAGGAAGAGGGGCTGCAGGGGCGGGCCGGGGCAGAGCAGGTGCTGGAGCCAGGTGAATGGTGGCCTGGAGTTGCTGTAGGGATTTGTGGATAATGACATGCCTGCGGAGGCTGGGTGCTCAGGGGCCCAGGCTGTGTTGGATTTTGTCTAGGGAGATGTATAGCAGAGCTTTTTGGCAGCTCCGAAGGCTTGCTAGACTCCAGTCCCACTTTTCATCCTCCTCCTCTTCCAATCTGAGTGTTTCCTCATCAGGCCTCTCACCAAGATGCCCTAGATCAGAAGTGGAGAATTTCAGGTCTGAACTCTGCCTTGGACACTGCTCAGTTCTGTGATCTTGGGAAATGATGTGAGGTTACTTCTATGAGCCTCATTTGTAAAATGGGTATTATAAACATATAGTCAGTCAGGGGCAGAACTACATTGTTAGGGTCTAGGGTGGAGGGTGGTAGAGAGCAGTCAAAGCTGCTCCCTTTAATTTAGCTGGTCTTCACACCAAGATCCTGCATGGATCTTGTAAGCAAAGAAAATGTTTGTATAGATGATACCAGAGCAAATCATACTTGCCATTTTGTATTAGTAATTAGGATCATCAAGAGAGCATGATGAAATCCCAAATAAGTGATCTTACAGATTGGGAGCAGGGAAGGGGGACATTCAAGGAAGAGACAAAAAACATTTATAGAACTCTGCTTGGAGCAATTTAAAAATCTAGCCCTTGAAACAAGAACAGCATGTTGGGGGGGGGGGGACATTGAGGAAGAAACAATTCTTAGAGTGATGTAAAATATGGTGGTAATGACAAAAGCATTCAATAGAAGGAATTGATAATAAAATGGTATCATCCTTCTGCTGAAACCTTCCTACAGGATGGGAGAAAATATTTGCCAGCTATTCATCTGACATAAGGTTAATATCCAAAATTTATAAAGAACTTAAAAAACGTGGTTTAAAAAACAAATATATGGAAAAATGTTTGATATCATTAGCCACCAGGAAAATGCTCATGAAAACCACAATGAGATACCATCTCACCCCAGTTAGAATGGCTGTTAATAATAAATAATAATTGCTGATAAGACGAGGAAAAGAAAGAAGTCTTACACACTATTGATGGGAATGTAACTTAGTATGGCCACTTTAGAGAACAGTTAAAAATAGATCTACCATATGATCCAGCAATCCCATTTCTGGGTATATATCTGAAGGAAATGAAATTGGTATACAAAAGAGATAGCTGCATGACTGTTTACTGTGGCACTATTCATCATACCTAGATATGGAGTCAGTCTAAGTGCCCACTAACAGATGAATGGATACAGAAAATATGCTGTGTGTATATATGTACATACAGCCATTTATATCAGCCATTTTATAAAACGCAAATTTTGGAGCAAAGTGATGGAGCTGGAGGATATCATGTTAAGTGAAATAAGTCAGACATAGAAAGACAAGTATGACATATTCTCTCTCACATGTAGAAACTTAAGAAAGTTGACCTGAAAGTAGAATAGTGGTTACTAGGGGCCAGGAGGGCGGGGTAGGAAGGTAGAAGTATGGTTGGATATAACAAGTGCACACTATATTCATGTAAAGTATATTGCTCAAAGTTATGCCTTGTGATAAGCTGAGTGGTTTTGTAACGTGTATTTGGTTATGTTATTTAAGTGTATTTTCCAGAGTATGCAGCCACCATTCCACATATAATCTGTTTCTATAACATTCATTAAGTAGTTAGTTATATTACTTATTACCTAAATAGGAACCTGTAGATTTTTAAAACATGCTGGCAGCCTACCCATTTTCTGTCCATTTCCTCAAGTGACTTCATTTTATCAGTGTTGGACAACATCATAAGTACAGTCAGGTTTGAAAACTGAAGAAAGAAGTAGATAAAGCAGATAAAGGATGGGTGATCATGTTTAGTTGAATGGGCTGCAAAAGGCCAAATAACAGAAAATGATTGTATTTATCCTTTAAATTTATTTTTGGTGTAAAAGCTTCCTAATGAAAAGAAATGACAGGTTTATTTGTTTATTTCCAGTATTCAAAGAGTTGCTTAGTAGGATTGAACAAGAGAAATATGGTGTTCCTCATATTCCAAAAATTGCTGAAAAAAAAAGTAATCGGCATTCAATTCAAGATGTCCCAGGAGATATTGAACAGACATCACAGGAGAAAGGAAATAAGAAAGTTAAAGCAAATACTGTTTCAGGTGGAAGAAACAAAATCAGGAAAATTCTGGATAAAACAAGATTTAGTATCTTGCCTCCAAAGCTATTTAGGTAGGTACTGTCACTCTCTGTCATATAGGAATTTTTATATTGATTGTAAAATTTTTATTGCGGGAGAGGGAAGTTTGGGTCATTTCTTGCTTTTTATGTAGCTATTGTATTATAAAGTCTCATAGCAATCTATAATAAGAAAATAAATTCTAAATTTCTCCCCATGGCTTTTATGAAGTTACCACTGTTAAATTATATAATATTCTATTGATGTTACTTTAAATTTTAGAAAACACTTAGTTTTTTATTCTGAGACCTATTTTTATATATTTTTTGGTCAAATTTCAGTCCCTGGTCTAATTTGGACAATCTTGGGACACATTTCACTGCTACCATCATTTTTTTTTTGTTTTATTTTGGTTTGGTTTTGGTTTTAAATCATGGCAGCATTTCCCCCCTCCTGAAGTCTAATGCTAAACTTTAGTCAAACCTATTTTTTATTTCAAAAGCAGAATATCATCAAAACTAAGTAATACCTGAAAATTTTATATGTAAATTAAAGTCTGTGAAATACCAATTAAGTCAGTCCACTAAAGAGTCATGGTTGAGAATGCCTCTAGTGTATATTATATTATATGGGTATATATCTTACAGATGTACATATATTGTTATATTTTATGATTATTATGTTATATACTATACATATATATAATACAGAACTTTTGTAACTGCTTTCATAAAGCAGTTCTGAGAACAGTAAAATATAGGTATAATACTTGTACATAGTAGGCACTCAAGTAATACTTATCAAATAAGTTAAGATAGTGAATTAATCAGAAGAAAAAAGCATACTCAAAGAACCACATATATAATTTTCAGTATTTTTTAATAGTTAAAATTCTCAAAGATTTTAAAGATCAGAAAATGTTCTTCCTAAAGCTCTAATATCCAACCAGAGAAGTACATTTGCCCTTCCTTTAATTTGTCATGCATAGATTGAAATATCCTAAGCTTTGTTCCTAATCTCTCTCTCTCTCTCTAGAAAATTCATAACTCATTTTGTGAGTGCCTTGCTTTCCTTGAAGTAAAGGATTTATAAAAATCATAACCTTAAATAGCAGAATTTGCTAATATTGTACATACTATAGCAAACATAAGAAAAGTCTTGTTCTCACAAATGGGGATCAAGTAAGGAGAATATAAAAGGCACCAGCCCACATTGAAGAGGTTGAGGTCAGTTTTGTGATGACCAAAAGTCACTGTGGGAAATAGAGACAAGAAGACAGAAAAGAATTCACAAGCAGAGTTTTTTAGAAGGTAGTGCTCTGACTTGTACTTCTAGAAACCCCAATGGGTTTGGTCTGGAATCTTTTAAGCGGTTCTTATTTTGACTGGTAGCAGAGTTGTGACATGTATATCATTTAAAACCTGAGAATACTGTTAATTATTACTCACCTCAGCTTGTTAGTGTTGAATTCTAGTAAGCTATACTCAAGTTTCAGGCAACTAAATCAATATATCATCTCCACATAATTCTTTGGGAAATGAGAATTAGTTACTGTGCATGGATTCTATCTTTGCTTACAGCAGGAAGCATGGAAGTTGAGATCACCTGTAGTCAGTTGAGTATCTTCTACATTATCACCTTATATTGGTACCAAAAAAAGAACATAAAAATAAAATATAGCATAAAAATCATATTCTACTATTCTAGTAGAATAGTTTCACTTAAACTCAGAAGGATTTTTCTGAATTTAATTTTCCTCATTTATTAACCAAGAAATATTTACTGTTTTGCTATGAGTACAAACATGAATAAAATGTGCTGCACTTTAGATGTCTTTACTAAACATGTTTTAATGAAGTAAAATACTAATAACTTCAGCTACAGGAGTTTAGTTAAATACATTGTACTGCAGAGTGCAAAAATGACTAGAAGGGAAAATACCAAGATGTTGATTATGGGAGATTTTGTAAGAAGAATTTTATAGATAATTTTTCCCTTCTTCCCTTGCTTTCTGTATTCTTCAGGATTTCTGCTTTGAATATTTGTTATCTTTTAATTGAAATGACTGCAATTACTGGATATCTTTTATATGCCCAGATGCTTTGGGAGAGGCATCAAGAACAGACTTGATTTGTTCCTTTAGCAGTACTTACTTCTGTGAGAGTAGGGTGTGAGTTTTCAGAGAGGTGTAGGAGAGAATTTCGGTATCTCTAAAAGGAACAAAGAAAGGATGTAAGGAAGCAAATACTTGAGATAAGAATAAATAATTCCAAAATCCTAAATCATATATACTATTGATTATAACATACCCAATAGTAGACTGTTTTGCTTGCTTATCAGGAATTATTTTTATTCTCCAACTTCTTATCAACATACTTTTTTTGTTTGCTTTTGTTTGCTTTTAATATTTGAGTTATTTTTTATTTGCATATTGATGCTATTTTGTAACCATTATAGTTCTATAATATAAAACTAAGTACTTTTATTCTCAGTGAATCTAGTGTCAGGGAATTGTTGAGGAATTTTTCACAACTGTCTTATTTCTATTATTGCATCACCTCTCAGGAAACTGTTTTGGTAAGAGTTGATGTACTTATTTGCCAAATAGGCTTTATCAATTCAGCTTCAAGCATGGATATTTTGCCATGTAGATACTGTATCATTCCTGTCATAGCATGGATTGTACATGACAGTATAATTTTCATTTATATATACTCACACCTTAATTGCCATGAATTTATAACCAGCTTTTCATGACTACAGCAGCAAAGTGGCATAGCAATTCATTATTAGAAAGCAGAGTTAGTGTTAAATAACATCAGTGTGATATAAGGTCTTTTAGGAGTTCATGAACATCTCTTAGCATCTATAGTGAATTCCAATTTGCTATAACTAATACAACTAATTCCCTTTTATAGACAATTCTAACTTTTAGTATCATTTAGGTTTCTTCTACTTGATTAACAGGACTAACTAATCTCTAACTTTAGTTTCTTGGATTCAGTTTTCTGACCCTCTGTCCAAATATTGGTAGATGTGTTTTCAAAAACTGAAAGAAAAAAACAGGCTGTTGCTTTAAAAAAAAAATCTTTATTTCTACTTAAGAATCTATGAAAGCTGTCCTTCTTTAAAACAATTAACTGTGACATCTAGGAATACAAATTATAAGGAGCCAATTTAGGGTAATCTCAAATTACTTATCAGATAAGATATTTCCTTTGCCTTACTTTTCAGATAGATTCTTTTTCTCCTTGAGAACAAATTGTTCCCACACTGTCCTCTTCTGCATTTCAATATAAATTAATTAAAATAAATATCCTTTCTTAGGTTTGTGTGGTTCTCATTTTAATTTTGGTAAAAGTACTTTATCTTCTTTGCCAAAATATTCACCTTCTTTACCTATTTTAATCCTTATAATAGTTTGGGGGTACAGATATGAGGAAAACCAAGGTCCAGCAAGAGAAAGAAATTTGCGCTGAGGTCAAACAGCTAATAACCCAGGTCTGTCTGACATCAAAGCTTGCTCTTAAAACAGTAACAAGAAGTCTTTGCTTTCTTCCACATTTTCATTCTTTTCCCAACTCTTCAGCTGTCTGTCCTGGCCCTCTCTTTCTTGTATGGCTGTTAAGTTCTTTAGCTATTTAACAATTCTCTGGCATCATTTTCTAATCTGCCTAAATCATGTTTTACTTCTAACATATTCTAAATATACCCTATATCACTCATTTTTAATACTGTAGCCTTATCCTTTCCATGATAATAGGTAAGTATTCTGTGATACTGCCTGTTTGAATGTACAACAAGTACTAGGCATAATGGTACATTGAATAAATTTAGGTGGGAACTAATATTAATGGAAAGTATTGGGTTTTGTTTTTTTAATATAATGAAAACCCTAGAAGTGGTATTTTGCTACTGATGCTGTTGGGAATCTTCTCCATGCCCTCCCCTATTGCTATCCTATGTTTATGTAGAAATGTTTTACTTTAAAATTTATATTTTGAGATCATAAAACTTAAGTAACAGTATATATATCCCCATTCCCCCACTTACAGGTAAATTTAGAGTTGCCTGTGAGATTCTTCTAAAATATTCTAAAAGAAGTTTTTTCTTTGCTTAAATTTGGCCACTTAATTATTAACTTTTTTTTTTTAATTTTAAAAGAGAATTAACTTTTGCTGCTTCCTTCCTATTCTGGATTTTGTATGTTGTAAGTAGGGAGGAAGGGACACTTTCTATAGTTTAGCTATGCATAGTTGGATACTTATATTAATGGACACTAAAATATGCATCCATGTATTAGCTGGCAAATTTTTCAAGGGCTCCCTAAACATTCAGGTTCAGTTTCTTTACCAAAACCAGTTGAAACTAAGTATGACTTTTTTATGATGCAGTAGAATTACTCAGATGTACAAATTAAATTTTACATGAACATAGTTGTTAAAAATATTTATATTTTCATCATTGTAGTTATCCTGTTTTAAAAATTACAGTAATATTTTAATCCAGTTGTTAGATCACCATTTTGAAATGGTTTTTATGCCTTAATGCACAGAGAATAAAAATGTTTACTGTTTAAATACCCTCTAATATTTTAAAGTGATATATGATTTTTTTTTTTTTTTTTAGTGATGGAGGCCTGAGCCAATCACAAGATGACAGCATTGTGGGAACAAGGCATTGTAGACACAGCCTAGCTATAATGCCTATTCCTGGAACACTCTCATCCAGTAGCCCTGATCTCCTGCAGCCTACTACCAGCATATTGGACTTTTCTAATCCTTCAGGTAATGTTCACACATAATTTTATGAAGACAAATTGGTACCTAATGAACAGACAAATGGTTGGGCCATGCAGTAAATACTAAATTTGCTTGCCTGCCTGCTACCTTCTCTTACCTCTGGGTGACTTCATGCTGAAAGCAGTAAGATTATCTTTTTATCTAAACTTGCAGAGTACGTCCTCAAAAATTAAAGAAAATTACGTAAAAACTACCCCTGACCACAGATTTAGATGTCTTTTGGTAATTATTATCTGAGCAGTGAAATGAAAACAGACACTTCTTAGCCAAGAAACATGTTATCCAAAGTATGAAAAGTTTAAATGGCCTCGATAATCTTTCTTAGGGATATATAAAAATGCCTTGGTAATTTTCTAAAAGCAGTGATTTTTTTTTCCTCAATACATGAAGCTAAAGTACTTGTTGTTATCAAAGTATTACAGCATCTTTTTCATTGTTCAGACTTTCATTGTGAGACATCAAGTTAATTTTTTTTATTTATGTATTGATGCCCGGAGCCAGAAATTTCACTTAACTATATAATCTAAAATTTCACTCCAAAGGATCAACACCTTTGAAGAATCAACTAGATATCATCATTTGAAGAAATTCAAAATAGCTTTTAATAAAAGACACATGCAATTAAGTGAGCAATATAATGTGTCCAGGGAAGAGAAAGGAAAAAAATTCTTCCACAAAGATCATCATATTTCTGGTGCAGCATAAATTTTCACTTCCAACAGCTAGTGTTAAGAAGGAAGGAAACTCAATTACATTAATCTCCGTATTTGAAGAAAATACATAAGTGCAGTAGTAAAGTTTGTGTTTCATTATAGCAACTTACAACCCCAGGACATAACACAAAAACAGTGAGGTCATTCTGTACGTGGTTTTTTCCTTTTTAATTCAGTTGCCTCTTAACCACTAGAGAGACTACTAAACCCATTTGTACAACTTACTTACTTTCTATGTCATTATCAGTATTCTTTTCAAGAATAAATATTTTAGTGAATCATTACTTTGCTTAGAAATTTCTAGCAGTTTATCAGTGAGTGTTCACTTACGATACAGAAATCACTCTCCTTATTTGATCAGAAGTTAATGTAAAGATTGCTACCCACCTATCAAGTTAATTAACTTAAAAGGGTAAGAAAGCAAGACTGAAGTATCATAGGGGTAGGAAAATCTACCATCTGGATTCAGTTTCTGTTATATAAAGGAAATGTTACTACCAGTGTGGGACATTTTGCTGGGATAAACCTCCCTTCTTACCTCCTATTCTGATGTTATCCCCACTGTTTCTTCATCCTTTTTTGAATATGGCATATACCTGTAGAATTCTTTGTCCATGTGGTTTGGTCAAAGAATTCTACAGGTATATAGTCAACTTTTTCTTTTCATCGATGCTGAAATTAAATGTTACTCATCTGGAAAGTTCAGCTCCCCTCTGCTGTGGTGTTACTTGCTCTTTTTTCAGAAGTTCCCAGCACATTTTCATGGCCTGTCTTTATTTGTTATGTGATAGGTTAGAAATTTCTTTTCGTGCCTGTGTGAATTGTGTTCTACAATGATGCTTGTTATACCATATATAAACTTTACAAAATATTTTTGCACTACTAGAGCAGAAGCTAAATATACTTACATTCATAAGACAAGTATTTAGGGATATATGATACATAGATTTATTGAATTTTTGTCTGTATTTTTGCCATAGGCATATGTAGAATATAGGGCCAAGGTAATAAGGAATGGGCTATAGGATAGGAGAGAGAATGAGAGAAGACGTAAGATGAGATGTTAGATGGGGAACAAAGAAAAGAGGTTAAAGTTGTTAAAATTTAGAAACTTTCAGTTAAGCCCCATGGAGCAGAAATTTAGGCCTCTGAAGAGGAGATACTGCCCAACTTGATTACAGATTGGGTCGCAATTTCTCTTCCTTGAAAACATTTTTAAAAGGACTGAAAATACCTTTTTAAAATCCATTGAGTGAATCTTAATATGGTTCAGTCTACAGACTGTGCCCATGTTAGTAATGTAAATGAATGCATATATGTATTTAACTTAAAAAATATATTTTAAGCCCCAAAATGTGTGACTTTGTGAAAGACCTTTTACCTAGTGGTGGTGGTATTTTTATTTATCTTTAAAAAATATTTTTGACAGCTAATTCAGAATTCATCTCCTCATATAATATGCAGTCACACTGAAATTAGCACATCACATCCATATATTGTAGTACCTATGTGTCATCAGCCAAGCTTAAATTATCAGTCTTGAGCTCAGTTATGTTTATTCTTCAAGTATAAAATTGTTACTAGATCAAAATGAAAGTGGGGGCAGAACTACAAAACTGTTGATAGTTTTATTTTAATTGCTGACATTTTTATGATTTTGCTTTATTTTTGCTGCCTTACAGCTGTTGGTTTTTACTGTAAGTATTTCGGAATTCCATTCCTAGTCTTTGTGGTATTTTGTTATTTTCAAAAAGTCATATGGTACAGAATTGAGTAAAATAGGAAACAGAACTTTTATTTCTTGTTACAAGGTAGAATTAACTAGCATGTATCCTTTTAGTCATTTTCTTTGGGAAAAAAATAAATGTGTATGTGTTATTTCTATATTCAGAGTGTACGTGCTATTCTAAAGCTCGTGAAAAGGTTTTTGAAATTTTTAACCGAATATAAGATGAAGCCTAAAAAATTCAGAGTGTGGCTAAAAGGAACTTGAAACTGAGGGGTTTTTTGTTTTGTTTTGTTTTGTTTTTGAGTTTGCAATAAAACTTTTTCCTTATTTTTTCATTTACTAGCACAAGACTTACTTTATTTACTTAATGTAGCAAACTTACTTCTGCATTGAAAGTCTGAGGGCCATTTTTTACTAGCTTTTAATTATAAAGAAACATAAACATAGTTTTTTGAAAAATCTGGTGTACACCTTTCTATTCCCCAGAATTTAGTTAATTTTCTCATGTATTCTTTAAAAAATTTATTATTCGTAAAATGTGTATGCTATTCTTTTCATCTCAAATACAATCTTGTACTTTTCTTTCACTTAGCAAGTTACCTGTATTAGAATGTGATGGTCTAGCAAAATTTTGTGGGGAGCACAGTCCTGAGATTGAACTGAGGGGCACTCAACCACTGAGCCACATCCCCAGACCTGTTTTGTGTTTTATTTAGAGACAGGGTCTCACTGGTCTCACTTGCTTAGCACCTTGCTTTTGCTTGAGGCTGGCTTTGAACTCTAGATCCATTTGCCTCAGCCACAGCCTCTTGAGCCACTGGGATTTCAGGCATGCGCCATTGCGCCCAATTCTACCAAAATTTTTAAGCAGCTGATAGAATTCTTTTCAGCAGTTTCCTATTAGTGGACTTTTACAGTGTTTTCTAAACACTTATGTCTACATGTTTTATATTTCCATTTCCATTATTGATTTATTTTGAATTTTGTCAGTAAAAATTTTTTCTCATTATATGAGTACCTGAAAAATATCATGGGTATTGCCTCTTGGCCTATAAAACTTAAAATATTTACTTACCTGGCCCTTCAGAAAAACAAGTGTACCAATTCCTGATCTATACCATTAAATCATTACACTTTGTTTTCTTGGTAGATTTTTTACTACAAGAAATTGCCTTGTTTGGTTGATTATTGTCTTTCCTTGGCACACCATTTATTACTCATTTGAATGGAAGTAAATTCCCTGAGAGCAGATTATCTCATTTATCACTGTATCTTTATCACTTAGAACATGTTGACACATACTAGCAATGTTATTGTTCAATTAACAATTTATAGTAGAAAGAGTCTTTTTGTTTTTTTTAAAGGATGCTCTTGTTCTTTCAGGGCTGGGGTTATATATAGTTCATTTGGTAGAGTGCTTACCTCGAATACACAAGGCCCTAGGTTCAATCCCCAGCACTACCAAAAAAAAAAAAAATGTCCTTTCATTTGAGTATTGCTCTTGACATGTGTTCTCCCACTAATAACAATTATATATGTTTGTAAAGAATATATATGTAGTACTTATTTGTAAAATAATAGAGAAAGATTTACACTGTCATTGGTGTCAGTAAAAAGAAGTTGTTTTCCTCTAATGTCTCAGTTTTCCAAGATGGCATTCATTATATTGGCACATTGATCGGGTTTGGATTATAGGGTACCCTTTGAATCCCACTTGTAGATCTGTGCTAGAGGTACCTCTGTGTGATACTTGAATCTCTCTTATGTGATTAGAGAACACCTTTTCCTTGTCTAGGAGAACAGATGGTTTTAACAGAATGTAGCATTTTAACACCCCATTCAGCAAGATATACAACTGAGTGTTTCTTCCTAAAAGACTTTATAGCATCAGGGAAAGAGAACATGAAGTATGTGCAAATTCCCCCCCACCAGATTTTGTGAATAAATTCCCCTGAAGAAAGTAATACAAAGGATAAGGAAGTCCTCACCATTCCTTCAAGGTCCTCTAGTACCACTTGCTGAGGCTCAGCTTCCAAAGCTCTAGTAAACAGATCCAGTTCTGGAGCCCAGGACCCATTTCATGAAGAGGGTAGGATCAAAACAAGTAATAACTGTATATTGTTTGGTCTTTTATTAACAAGTTAAAATAATAGTGAAACCACTTTGTTTCTCCTCACAAACCAAAATACCCATCTGCTTCCAATAATTTCCTAGGACTGTGGTGGTAGGGCTTATTTCATAAAATTATTTCCTGCCGTATATGTTGCATTACTTTCTTTGTTCCTTTTAAGACAAATTTTTTAATTTTTTTCCTCTTAAAAATTAGTTACCCAGGGGCTGGGGTTGTGGCTCAGAGGTAGAGCGCCTAGCATGTGTGATGCACTGTGTTCAATCTTCAGCACCACATAAAAATAAATAAATAAAATAAAGGTATTGTGTCCAACTACAACTAAAAAATAAATAAAAAATAGTTACCCACTAGCGTCTCAAAAGGCTGAGGCAGGAGGGTTCCAAGTTTGAGGCTAGCCTCAGCAATTTTGCAAGGCCCTATCTCAAATTTTAAAGAGTTGGGAATTTGACTCAGTGGTTTAGAGTCTGTGGGTTCAATCTCCAGTACCAAAAACAAAACAAAGGAAAAGTTAGTAGTTTCTACAATGATCATAAGTCAATGCTAGACAAAAAGTTAACTGAGCCACCACAGTCTCCCCTATCCATTCCACTATAGTCAATACACATACACTCACACACAGAAAAGCCACAACAAGAAACATTCCTGAATTTTTATAACAGTAACTTATTTTCATAGGAAATTTTTTACTATTTGTTTATATAAGTCACTTACATAAACAAATAGTAAAAAAGTCACTCTAGTCAAGTCACTTTTCGATTATTTTAAAACATTAACATTAAAATGCCAGCATAATAAACATTGTTCTGAAAGTTTTAACCTGTACTCTGTGATGAGAAAAAAGATTTAATCAAGTAGGACAGAAAAAAATGAAAATATCATATCATAATTCGTATTATAGGAACAGGTGGAATTTATCTGCTAACAGCAGAATTCACAAGGGCAAAGACAGATATTTAAGCATATAAACATTTAAAACCTTTCTTTGTTAGAAATACAATAGACTATTAAAATTGGGGAGATATTTACCTCTGTAAAGTAGAGTGGGTGTTCATATCTATTATGATTCAGTGGGGAAAAGCATATAGGATATCAAAAGGTATTTTAGAAAAGAAGAAATACTAATTATTCTTTAAGCCAATACCAGTTACTGAATCTCATCAATAATGGAAGAAATGAAAAACAAAATAATTACATATTTTTGGAGGAAAAGGGCTTTCAAAAGGAGGAAAGTGAAGTAAGATATTATTATATAAACCATTTAAATAAGAATCAACAATTTTATGCTCTCACATTTGAGGATTATAAAATATAATCTCACTGGGGGACATTTTGGCAATGTCTCAAAAATCTTCAAGAGCCAAGCACAGTGATGCATGCTTGGCTGTAATGATGTAATACCAGATAATCAGGATTCTGAGGCAAAAGGATCATAAGTGCAAGGCCAGACTAGGCAACTTAACAAGACCCTGTCTTCAAATAAAAGGAGTTGGAGATGTGTAATGTAGTGATAGAGCTACAGTACCAGAAGGAAAAACTAAGGCTTAGTTTTTTTTTTTTTGAAGGTTTTCACAGAGGAAATAATCTGATTGCCTACAAATATTTATCTATTTTGGGGGTGAGGAAGGAGTGTAGGTCATAATATCTTAACAAATATGTAAAATGGTAAACAATAAATGTTTATCATTAGGGGTTTGGATAATTGAAATATATAAGTTATATATTATGGAGTTCTTTGCCTGTATTTAAAATAATTTTATAGAACATTGACATCATAATGTTTATAATAAATGAAAAAAATATGAGTTCTAAGCCAGACAATAATATGATCCTAATTTTTATCTTTCTGAACATGTATTATCGTGTTTTGTCACCTAAAAAAAAATAGTAGATAACATTTTTATCAATAAATGCCACAGTGATTTCTATATGAATAGTTAATCACCTACACGAAATAGGAAAATAAATTGCAACATTTACAGAAATAGTTATGTTCCAAATTGTTTTTGAAGAGTTTAAAAGTAATTTTCATGAAAATAATAAGGCATTTTTTTATTTATATAGATATTCCTGATCAAGTTATAAGAGTTTTCAAAGCAGATCAACAAAGTTGCTACATTATCATCAGTAAAGACACTACAGCTAAAGAAGTAGTTTGTCATGCTGTTCATGAATTTGGTTTGACTGGTGCATCCGACACATATTCTCTTTGTGAAGTTTCTGTTACTCCAGAGGGTGTCATAAAGCAGAGAAGACTTCCTGACCAGTTCTCCAAATTAGCTGATAGAATTCAACTCAATGGAAGGTGAATAAGCTTCTTAGTGAATGTGATTATTTTCGGGGGGGGGGGGGTTGTTTATGATTCCCTGTTAAAACGCGTATTTTAAGTACAAATGTCATGTTTTATTACTACCGAATTCTCTCTAAAAATTGAAAGTAGGGTTTCTTTCTTTTCTAAGCTTTTCTTATCTCTATAATTATAAAATAGAATCTTAGGATATTCTTAAGACTTCCATAAATTGGAGATAATAAAAGAGAAAACAGTTTGCTAACTTTTTAAGAACCAGCCTCACTAAAAGCAAGATGCTGGTAAATCAGAGCTGAGTGAGGCAGTGCACACCTGTAATCCTAGCAGCTCAGGAGGCTGAGTTAGGAAGATCATGAGTTCAACGCCAACCTCACTAAAAGCAAGATGCTAAGCAACTCAGTGAGACCCTGTCTCTAAATAAAATACAAAATAGAGCTGGGGATGTAGCTCAGTGGTTGAGCAACCCTGAGTTCAACTCCCAGTAGCCCCTTCTGCAAAAAAAAAAAAAAAAAAAGTTATAAAATCAGTAGTGTGTTCTAATGCTTGTTTTTTGTTTTTTACAGAAGAGGCAGCAGAATAATACAAATCTGTATCAGTATCTGAATATGCATATGTATTAATGTATAAATTTAGGGTTTTTAGATGTAGATGGACAGCATGCCTTTATTTATTTTTTATGTGGTGTTGAGGATCAAACCCAGTGCCTCACACATGCTAGGCAAGCACTCTGCCACTGAGCTACAGCCCAGCCTTAAATTTAGTTTTGAAACGCCTAGTGTAGGCAAAAGAAACCATTCATTATTCTTTTCCAAATAGTTTTACTTTTATGAATGTACAGAATTTTTAAATTTTTGTCTGAAAGTTATTGGATAATCTAGAAGATTGTTTTGGTATTATTCCTTTCTCTGATAACTTTCTCTGAAAATAATCTTTCTTAGTGACTCAGTTTTACATGTAGAACCTTGGAAACCTTAAAATGACAATCTGTCATGGTTGCCTCAAGTCTGCTTGTAGGCTATACAATTTATGGCATTAGAGATGAACAAAATAAAGGCTGGAAAAAATTTTTTCTTTGATAATAAAAAAATATATGAACATAGC